TAAAAAAATCATCATACAAAAAATTTTGGGGGCATGCATATAGGGCATGCCCTTAAAACAGAAAAACCAGAGGCATGCCCAAAAAATTTTCTGTGCCCCAACCCTACCTGCCAGGGAACTCACGGTTTGACACTGTTTTCAGTTAGTGATTTTCCTAGTAGATAACCCAAACCAATTATTATTATTATTTATTATTTTCACATAAAATTAATTGAAATTCGACTATTCTGTAAAGGTTATGGATTTGCATCTGGCACGTCTTTTCTTAGTACGGACAAACCAGTCTCAAAACCTAATGGTAATTCAAAAAATGACACGAATTCAGATAATCTTTCACAATCGCCACCAAAATCAGCACCAAATCCTTCATTGGAACCTTATGGAATATTTAGTACTAAACCACCATCAAAAAGTCCTAAACGAAGTTGGACTTTTCCTGTTAGTAATGATGTATGTCCACGTTGTTCAAAAGCTGTTTACGCGGCAGAGGCGGTAAATATATATATATTTTTTAATGAAAAATTTTTTAAATATGGATTTGTGACCATGAATATGAATAACACATTTTTATTGATAAGGTTATGGGAGCTGGAATAAAATATCATAAATTGTGTCTACGCTGCGAGACTTGTAGTAAACTTTTAAATTCTACTAACATGACAGACCGTGAAGGAAAACTTTACTGCACTTCTTGTTATTCTAGAGAATTTGGACCAAAGGTAATAATAATAATGATGAATTTATTTAATCATATTATTTGCATTTAATTAATTTAATATATTTTAATATATTTTAATAATTAATTTAAAAAATTTTTTTTTCCAGGGTTATGGATATGGAGGAGGTTTGTAATAATTAATAATTTATACGATAATTTATACGATAATTTTAATTGGTGTTATTATAAACAAGAATTAATTATTATTTTTATGAAACACAGGGGCGGCATTTTTGACAACAGAAGGGACAGCCAGATGATTGAAATTATTTTTTACGATTTATAAGCCAGAAATTAACGAATTTCATTCTTTAACGCTTGATATATATTTAATGAAGCAATGAAATTTTTTGAGAACATTATTAACTTATTGTGATTCTATACGTTATGATACAATACGTTATGCTTATACATATTTTTATTATATATTGTACAAATATTGAATTAATTTTGTATCTTAGGGTTTGTTAGAATATTTTTTTTTTCATTAAAGAAATATCAGTGAAGTGTGAAATTTAAATTTATCTTTGATGAATTTTTCGTTAAGTGCGATTAGTGTAATTGCAATTTATATATAGTATATAATTGCAATTCGCGTTAGTATGTAATTATAAATAGATTTTGAAAATTCGCAGTTCAATATTCGAGAACAATGCAAAAAATTTATTTACAATTATTACATATGATGTTATACACAAAATTCCAATTATATCCTTTGCAGGCTGTACATGTAATCCAATGCAATTATCTAAATATTTTTATTTAAAGTATGCATAAAAAAAAAACGAAACTTTATTTATAAATATACACTGTAGCACCATCAGTTATGTTATTGGATAAAATTAGACATTTATTACATTTACGTATCATTATTCCTATTTACACAAACTAGTATTAATATGCAAAAAAAGAATTCAATTTAACTCGATTGCATCGCACAAAATATAAATATTGTTTACCAACTCAACGCTAAGTCGATACGTATTTAAAATCTATATACGTACGTACGTACCTATATATTATTATTTAAAAGCACGTGAATATTACGTACAAATTTATGTACTGAACGTACGTACGTACGAAAGTAGTGCAATGCATATTGTAGATATGTTAATTTTCAACAATTAATGTTAATGGTTTCTCTTAAATTTCATATTAATTGCATAATCAATTTTAGTGATAATGTTACAATAATTTATGGTGGTTTTATATACTGTTTGATAAACGTTTACGTATTTCAGATTAATCTAAATGTTCCAGGAATCTTTTTTTTTCACAGGTTCAAATAAAATATCCATACAAAAAAAAATAAGTACTGTAATTCATTTTAAACTTGAATTTAATAAACTGATGCGGTGCAAATCATTTAAAGACATCCAAAATCGTAACTTCTCAACGAATATTTAAAGTTTTGCGAAAAAAAAAGGCATTATATCGTAGTTTTAGATAAGTTTTACAAAATTATGCTTTTTTTTTTTTTTGCAAAATTTGAACTTATACATTTTTTTATTAAACAATTTCAAATATTTAAAAAATTTACTAAATTATATACATCGTAAATATGTAATTTTTTTTTTTCGTGCTAGCGTATACGGGATCATCATGAGACGCTATTAAATATAATTTAAAAAAATAACTATTTTATTAAAAAGTTTATTTATATTAATAAAAAAACAAAATATATAAATCGCACCATGGTTATACATGTTGGCAAAATTATAAAATTTTAAAATCCCACCCAAATCCCAATCCCAAGTGGAAAAATCCCAAAACACAAATTACAAAAATTCTATTTGGGTTGTCAAAACTTTAACCAAATCCCAAGCCCAAAT